TAAAAGGTGGTGCAGGCCACATCCCAAGGAAACTCCCTGTACATTGGATCAGGGATGTGACCTTAGTGAGGGTGTTACAATCCCACGCTAATCCTCTTTAACACAAAATTACAGTCACAAAATGGAGGACAACCACACAGTACTGGGAATCATGGCCCAGCCAAATTGATACACACATTTTTGGGGGAACATAATTCAATCCATGACAGTCAGGATGGACAGTGTGTGCACAGTGGGGATGGACATGTGTGCACAGTGGGGTGGAGAGTGTGCGCACAGTGGGGATGGACAGTATGTGTCCAGTGGGCATGGCAGCCAGCCTCAGGGTTGAGGACAATGAAAGTAAGAAGGAATAGAGGGGGCAGAATGGCCCTCTTGTTCTCTGGTTCTCCCCAGAGTCAAGGAAAGGTGTGTCTGGGTCCAAGACCCCGAGCAGGTTAGTAGGTGGGATGCTAGGCCTGGTACAAGCCTGGCACCAGGGATACTTGACACAGGGGTTTCAGTCTGATCACAGCCCTCATGCGTTCTTTCCACATTCATCAGATGCCTCTCTGTGCGGGCCTTGGGGCTCACAGCTTAGTAGATACAGGAAGAGCAGGGGCCATCACAGAAGACTTTGTTCCCCAGATAGTGGGGGTGTTGGCAGGGACAGCCCCCCACCCGTGGAGCCAGCTCCTGCCCAGACAGGAGAGGCTGACTCTCCAGCTCCCAGATGGATGACTGGCAACTGGCCAATGGAAGAGGTAAGAGGAAGGGTGTTCTAGGCAGCGCGAACAGCCAGTGCTAAGGCCCTGAGGTGAGGTAGAGAGCCAGCTATGTTCTGGGAAATAAAAATAGATCAGCGTGACCAGAGGACAGAGAGATGGAGTGTGTGGGGAGACAGACACTGAGAAAGAAGGGCAGAGAAGGCAGACAAGAGGCTACTGCCTCATGGGCAAAGTTAAAATGCCTGAATTTATCTTGAGGGATGAGGAGGGCGAGGCTGGAAGCTGGAGGCCCACTGGGGAGTCGTTCAGGTTACAGTGGGCATAGAAGGTGTCAGAACCTTCCAGAGGAGCTCAGCTGGGGGTCTGGACATGGTGAGGTGAGACTTTGGATCCAGGAGCAAGGAGAGCCAGGAAGTTAGTGGACAGATGGCCCGTGCTAAGGAGCCCGAGGGCTGCCCCCACAGCTCAGGGATCTGAAAGCAGGTGGATGGAAGAATGCGACCACCGCCCACCTCCCACCGCCCTCCTCCTGGCCAGGACCATGGCCCCTGGGGTGGGGGTGCTAAGGCAGGGGAGAACGGCCTCCCTCACCCTGTCTGGTCATTCACAGCAGGGCAGAGTGGAGGCATGGGGATGGGGGGTGGGGGACAAGGGTCTTTCCTGTCCCCCCCAGATCTGATACGGGCACCCAGCTTTCCAACAACAGCCCGAGTCAGCACTAAGGCCCTGCCCCGCATCTCTGGGCTTCCCCCCACCCTCCAGCCACCCCGGCCACTTGGGAAAGTCATTTCATTTCTCAAATTAAAAATCCATTTTGCGCGGTGAATAATAGATGGGATGAGCCCTGGGAGGCCAGGGAGACAGGAAGCTGGTTCGGGGGGTGGTTTTCCAGGGCACGGAAGACTTGTAGAATTGGCAGGGGAGGGGAACGGGGGCTGTGGGCGGGCAGGAGTCCGGGCAAGGGTGGGGGACCTTGTAGCTCTCACAGCAGACTCCTGGCTGCCATGCTGAGCCAGGGCTAGGGCTTCGGCCCCTCAGGAGGCTGCAGCCCAGACCCAGTGACGCCCCTCGGGGGGTGCGGGTGGGTGAGATCTGGCCCTGGCCAGGGAGGAGGCAGAGAGTGGGCTCCCAAAGCCCTCCCCTCTGGCCTTTGCTTCCCCCAACCCACCCCAGTCTGGGCCTCTTTCCATAGCAACTCTGGCCGCTGCCTGTCCTCCCCCCCCGCCCCCCACCTCCAGCTGGCCACCTGCAACCTCACTGCGGACTTTGCTGGGTATACGGTGTCATCCTCTTGCTCATCAGTCATAGGGTCACCTTGACAATTGGGGGCAGGTGGGGGAGGGCTGGAAGCCTCGCAAAGAGTGAAGGGAGCTGGAGGCCAGACCCTGGCGCCCTCCACTCCTGCCAGCCTAGGCTACTTGCCTTTCTGAGAGGAGCAAAGAGCAAAAGAGGAGGGCCTGGGCCACTCTGTTGGTGGGTGGTGCAGGGTGCACAGGACTCAGTGGGTCACACAGTCCAGTCCTGAGTCAGCTCAGTTGGCCCTGGTTACTGCCCTCAGGGTTGGGGTCAGGCCAGGAGTTCGTGGGGTTCCACGGGGGATGAGCCACTGAACAGAGCAGGGGAGGCCAAGCCAGGCAGACAGGGCCACCTCGCTAGGAGTCAACGGAGGTGAACTGATCAATGGCCGTGAGAGCCCGAGAGAGGGACTGCAGGAGGACAGAGGGAGCACGGGCGGAGGGCTTGGGCGTGCGGGCGCAGCGGCGGGAGCAGGAGTCCCTGGGGAAGCGTGTTTGCGTCTGTGCCTTTCTGTCGGAAAAAGGCGGCTCCCTGAGACAATATCCATTTTTATATTTCTTGGAAATTTCACGGCATTCATTTCGGCGAAAATAAAAGCTGCCATTGCTGGAGAAATGATACCAATCAGGGCCTGAAAAGGCTGGAAAATTATCCTCCTGGAGACGAGCGTTGGGGGAAAAATGCAGATTAAAAACACAAAGAGCCACTTTGCCACCGCCCTGCCCTCCCCTCCCCCGACGGAATCTCGGCGTTTTCCATAACTCGCCCTCTTCTGGGAAGATTAACTGGCCGAGAAGAGAAGAATGCCCGGGGCAGAGGAGGACCTGCAGACGGCCGGGGATGGAAGCAGAGAGAGTGCAGAGCCGGGACTTACAGATGGAGAGATGGAAGGAAAGACAGACAGAAGACTAGCAGAAGCGGGTGGCAGGTGGCCACTGGGCCAGGGGCCCAGGGCAGGGGACAGAGTGAGGGACCCTGTGATTCGTGGCTTTTATCAGATGGGGCTCCATGGCCATCTCAAAAATTGTTTGGACCAGTCTGTCAGATTGGTGGTTTGCGGGGTCTCCTCCTAGGGACCCTGATGGAGGGGGGCGGCTAGAGAAAGCAGAGACCCCAGAAACAGTATCACTCATCTAAGAAACCCAGAGTTCCCTGAGCCCCGGGGGCCAGGCCCTGTGGGTACAGTGGTAAGCCAGGCGGATGTGGCCCTGCCCTCCAGGGCACCGGAAGACGGGAGTGGGTGGAGGAATTCGGAGATCCCTGCCTAGCCCGACGCCCACCCGAGCCGCTCTGAGGGCTGGGGGCTGCTGGGCAGAGTGGGCGGGCCCCCTCCCTCCCTCCCTCCCTCCCCTGTCTCCGGCATGGAAGACCCTCTCACTGCTCTCTAGTCCTTCTCTCCCCACCTGGGCCAGGGAAGGCGCTGGGGCTGTCTCAGCCTCTGGGGTCCCGCCTGCGGCAGTCTCTACTGTTCTCTCTGGACCAGAAACAGAGTGAAGGGTGCAAGAGGCGGACCGAAACCAGAGCCCTCGGGGAGGCCTGGCGGGGGCGGGGTTAGAAAGGAGGGCAGTAGGTCCCCTTTATGGAAGGCCCGCTGCGTCCCGCGCTGCTGCGCGGTACAGGCACGATTTCCGCGCAGCCCTAGCCTCTTGGAATCCTCTCTGGGCCGTGCTCCCGTCCTGAGGCTCGGCTGGGCCTCCCGCGCGCCTGCTAATCTCCAGCCTCAGTCCCTTTAGGGCCGGCCGGGTGGGCGGTCCACAGTGGGGCACCGGATCAGGGGGTATACCCCTCCCGGGAGTGAGAGTCACCCTCTCTCCCCGGACGCGGCGGCCCCGGAGTCCACGAGCCTGAAGATTGTGTGAGGACCCTCGGGCGCCTGTTCCCGCGGCTGCCATCCCCGCCCGCGCGCTGCAGCCGAACTGACAGGTAGTGGAGAGGGAAGCAGGCAGAGGAGGGGCGCGCGGGGCGGGCGGAGGAGGGTGGAGCCGCTGGCGCGCCCCCTCCC